CCCGGCGAGCTCCGTCCTCGCTCCATCAGCCACCCCGGGGGACACGGAGAGGGACCCGGCTCGCTGCCGGGTGGCCTCGCAGGCGGGCAGGAGGCCCAGGGATGAGGTGGCTCCAGGTACAGCCTGAGTTTTTTGCTCTTGGGCAGCCCAGGGCAGCTCATCTCAGCCTCAGCAACACCCCGCGTGGCCGGGAGGCCTCCCGAGCGCCGGATCTGGCCCCGCTCCAGCTCGTCTCGTCCAAACTGCTGCGAATCTCTGCGCCGCGGCTCTCCCCCTGCTGCCTTCATCCCTGCGTTCCCCCAGCTCCGCAGAGACAACCGGCTCCCGGCAGGGAGCATCCAGCTCCCTTCCTGACGCCCTTGGGGCATCCCGAATTCCCAAGGAGGCTGCTGGGTCACACACAGCCTGGCCTATCCCCTCCACTTGGCACTTGGCAGCTCCTGGTTTTCCGCAGCGAGGGCCCTCCCGGCACGGCCGCTGCACCCTCCCCATCACCTCTAAAATTAGCTCCCGCGGCCGCAGCGCTTCCATAGTAGGCGCCGAGCAGGGGGAATCTCTTCTGGCTGATAAGACCCACTGAGGAGAGGAAGAAATGCAAAGAAATGCTCAAAATAGAGCGAGGAAGCAGCAAGCTCGGAGGCAGCTGGGCTTGCTCCGGGCTGTGCTGCGTGTCCCAGGCTGCCGAGGATTTCCAGGGTGCCACGAAGGGAATGCTGAGCCGGGAAAAGGGCTGTAAACCCGAGCGGATCTGCAGGAGCAGAGCTGCGATGGGAGCGCCGCGGCCGCGCGCCAAAGCGTGAGCTCAGCGCGCGGCGCCGGCAGATGTTCGGCTCAGACCTGCCGCAACATCTGTCTGCATCTGGGGCCGCAGCAGCGACGCTCCCCGCTCCATTCGGAGCGCAGGATCAACCCTGCGCATTTCCTTGGGGATAGCCACATCCCCTGCCTGCAGCATCCAAGCGGGTCTGGTTTTCCATCCCAGGGAAACCCTCAGTCCTGCGTTCTCCTTGCGGGAATTCCCGCTCTGGTGACAATCCGCTTCCTCGTATTTTCGCACCACCCGTTTCAGGCTCACTGGCACTGCCTGGGTACCTTGGAAGGTATTCGATGCCACAAGCCCATCCGAATGGCGATGTCCACTCGGGCTCCTCCGAGAGCTCCGGCAGTGCAGCGCTTGGCTCCCGGTATTCCGGGCACCGTCAGGAAGAGGCTGACGGATGAAGCGCGTTGGCTGCAGGTCAGGGCCCAGCAGGGACAGGAAAGCTCAGGAGCCTCAATGTCCCCCCTGGAAAAGCCTCTCCAGGACAGTTTTAAGGGAAGCTGCTGGAGAAGGGAGCTGCTCGAGGGGAACCAGCCGCCCGGAAAGGCTCCTCTGCCGCCTCCTCCAACCCGTCCGGTTCTGGGAAAGGGCTGACTTCCTTCTCCGCACATCGCAGCGTTCCTTCCTCCAGGTAATTAAACAGCGCCTGGGCCAGGATAAACTTCCCGTGGGGCTTCGCACACGCTGTAAATCAAATGGGAGGAAGAGGGATGGCAGCAAAGCAGGGCCACGCGGCTCCGGCGCTCATCAGGACGAGCGGGGCCGCTTCCTCCGAGGAAACAGCTCCCTTCCGCCGCAGGACCGGGAATTGTCCTGCCTGGGGCTAGGCCAGGAAAAACCACCAGGCTCCGTCCCCGGCTTCCCGCGGAGATGGTGCCTTCAAACAAGCCGGGATTGTTGCTCCATCTGCGCTGTCCCTCCCGCCTTGCCCAACTCCTTGCACAAGCCCTGGCTGCTGCTCCTGAGCCCTGTGCGGGGCTGTGCCCAGCGGGAGCCTCCGAGGACGCTGCTCTCCGCTCTGGTGACCCGGGGACATGGTGCTCCCTGGCCAGCCACGTGCCCAGCTCCCAAGGCAGCAAAGAGCCTCGCTCTCTTGCCCTGCATCGTTCAGCCCTGCAGGTTTTTGGCTGAGAAGCAGCCTCGGCTTTTGCTCAGCTATGAACCAAGCAAAACTGCTCCTGCCACCAGCAAGATGCAAAACGCCAGTGGCGCCAAAGCAGCGCGGAGCCCCGTTCCCACGGCGCTCCCAGCACGAGTCACGCTCCCGATCCATGCACAATGTCCGGAAACGGCCGCCCGTCAGCGCTCGGGAATGCACAAGGAGCGACGTGGCTGGGAGCAGGGTGAGCAGAGGGGGTCCCAGGGCAGAAACCCTCTAGGCTGGGGCTATTCCTGGCAGCTATGGGGAGATGGGGTGTGAGCTCCGAGCTCCAACTCCATCCGCAGCGTGAATCCTCGGTGGGAACAGGGGCAGATTTGCCCAAGCTGCAGGGCCCAGCCAGGCCAGGCGTTGGGGGCCACCAGGGCAAGCAGGACTCAAAGCACCCCAGGGCAAGCAGCAAGAGGGCACGGGGCTGGGAAGGGTGTTATTGCTGCAGAAATGAGTGAATCCAGCACTCGCAAAGCCCTTTCCTTCCTCCTTCCCCAGTTCCCTCGACAGGTCCCAGGTCGCTACCAGCCTCCTTTGATCCCCGGGGCCTCCCTCGCCTGGATGTCCCCAAGCTGCGACGTCCCCTGCGAGGCCGCGCCGGCGAGAGGGTTAAGCAGCTGCACCTGTGTCCCCACCGCGGCCACTGCCTGCACAAAGCCACCCTTGTCCTCGGCAGGGCCCGTGCCGGCATGTTATTGCTGAAGGGAAGAACCGCGTGCCCGCTCGGCTTGGATGCAGCCGGGATAGCCCGTGACGGAGGCCTTGCTGGAAGGGGCCGAGCGGCTGCAGGGGCTGCCATTGCCCCACGCTGTCTCCACGCTGTCCCCCGCGGACGAGGGGACGAGGCCGTGCAGGGACCTCCTGGCGGCTCCGCGAGCCCAACTGCTTTGGTTTGTGCCCTCAGCCAGCGCTCGCAGTGGGTGAAGCCAGGACAATCTCAGCTTCCTTCTGCGAAGCGGGATTTCCCTCCCGCCGGCTGCTTCTGCGGATGCGAATACCCAAAGCTTTGGGCCCAAACTGGAGCCACCCAGCTCAAGGACACTTAAAAATAAAGCAAGTGCATTGAGAGCCATGAGGAGCAGCTGGCCGGGAAGCTGCTGCCCATACGTGTCCCCCCACGCTGGAGTCACGAGTTCGTGGTGCCCACACGGAGCAGGGAGCAGCTGGGGCTGCGAGGCTGGAGCTCCATCCAGGAGAACCCGAAGGCACCAGCCGGTCCCTCCTAAGGACCCGGAGCTCTGCAGGGTGGGCCGGATGCCGCAAGCCTGTGGGTTTTGGGAAGCTCCCGACCTGCATTCCTCCAGCAAGGGATTAAATAGAAACCCAGATGGGAAGGGCAGGGGACAGGGGGCTCTCCCATGCCCCAGGGCACGAGGCCAAGCCCAGGTCCTGCTGCCCAACAGCTCCACATGGGAGCTCCGCAGCTGCTCCCGGCTCCGGCGTGGCCTCTCCCAGGAATGCGCCTCGGTCCAGCCAAAGGTGCTCGAACACTGCGGAGCGATCGCAGGGCTGGACGCG